CGCGCAAGTGGGAGCAGACCGCAGACCGTCTCGGCAGAGCTTGCTGCACTTCCGCGACTACCCCGAGAAAGTTACTTCAGTACGTTGGGGCCCCCGCGGCCGCCCCGCGCCCCAGCAGCCTGAGCAGCCCTGAGCAGCCCTGGCGTGTCCCACACCTGCCCGGCCCCCCGCCTGCTGCCCCGCCCCACTGTGTGCACGCCACCTCTGTCCTCCTTCATCTGAACTTACTGTGTGGCAAGAACCCCCAGGATGCTGTTGTCGAACACACTCAGGATTCCCTCTCTCTCTCTCTCTCACTCTCTCTCTCTCCCTCCCTCCCTCTCTCTCCCTCTCCCTCTCTGTCTTCCTCTCTCTCTCCCCCGCTCTCTCTCTCTCACACACACACACACACACACACACACACTCAGAATACTCTTCTCTCTCTCTCTCTCTCTCTCTCTCTCTCTCTCCCTCTCTCTCTCTCTCTCACACACACACACACACACTCAGAATACTCTTCTCTCTCTCTCTCTCTCTCTCTCTCTCTCTCTCTCTCTCTCTCTCTCTCACAAACACACACACACACACCGGCAGCCAGGTGTCCTGCCCTGGGCTGACAGCAGAGGGTGGCCAACTCTGGGTTCACCCTGAGGACAGGTGGGGACAGCTGCCAGGCCACCCCCTCTGGCCATGCCCAAAGCCTTCTGGGTCCCTGCCTGTGACTCTGCGTGGGATGGGGTGTGGGCCTGCGGATGGGTGTGACCCAGGTCCCTGCGTGTGACCATGTGGGACGGGGTGTGGGCCTGCGGACGGGAGTGACCGGCCCGTGTGCGGCTGTCCCCTCAGTTCCTGATCCACTGCGAGGGCACGCGCTTCACGGAGAAGAAGCACCAGATCAGCATGCAGGTGGCCCAGGCCAAGGGGCTGCCCAGCCTCAAGCACCACCTGCTGCCGCGCACCAAGGGCTTCGCCGTCACCGTGCGGAGCCTGAGAAATGTAGGTAAGGAAGCTCCAGCCCTGCCTCCCACCCCCTGCGAGGGAACCACCCGCACTCGCACTCAACAGGCACAGCTGTGCCCTTGGCCGGGCCTCCGGCTCACGGTGGCAGCCAGTGGGAGGGGAGGGGACAAGGACGGCACCTCCCTGGTGGCCAGGGACCAGGCACCTGGTGTGGGCGCTGTGGCCGCTGCCTGCATGCCTGAGCACACAGTCTCTCTCTCTCTCTCTCTCTCTCTCTCTCTCTCTCTCTCTCTCACACTCTGAGGCAACACTGCCCTCCACTGCTGGGCACCAGTACTGCAAGGCCATGGCCGTGGGGCGTCCTGGGTCCTCCCCTGGGTCCAGTGTGGCCTACACCCTGTCTGCCCGGTTAGACCAGGTGGTGGTTTTTTGGGGTTTTTCCTTTTTTTATTTCAGAGAGGAAGGGAAAGGGGAAGAGAGAGAGAACATCCATGATGAGAGGGAATCATTGATCGGCTGCCTCCTGCACGTCCCCTACTGGGGGTTGAGCCTGCAACCTGGGCATGTGCCCTGACCGGAATCGAACCCGGGACCCTTCAGTCCGCAGGCCAACGCTCTATCCACTGAGCCACACCAGCCGGGGCCCAGGTGGTGATTTTGCTTTGCGTTTCCTGCTCCTCTGCCGGTACCTGCTGCCCCGAGGATGCACGGTGACTGGTCACCTGAGTTTGGGCCTCGGCCCCGCTCGGTGAGAATAAGAGGGAAGTAGCAGTGACAGTCCCAGCCTCTTGTCACAACTTCCTGTCTCCTGCTCAACCCGCCCCTCAGGTTAGAAACCCCATTCGCCAGCCACCCCCCAAAAAACAAACCCTCGTCTCCGTGGGGATCTGGGCCGCTCGGCTGTGTGCGGGGTCAGGCTGGGCACTGACCGGAGGGAGAGACACAGCCGGTCGAATGTGGCTCTGTCCACACGGCCTCGCTCTTTAGCCTGGTCCTCAGGCCTCCTCTGCACCCCATGACGCCCCCAGCTGCTCAGGGGTCAGGGTCAGGCGGCGGGGTGTGCACAGCGAGGGCTCTGCGGGGTGGCCCGCCCCAGGGCATTTAAAACCCCATTCTCAGCCAAGTGTCGAGGGACCGCAGTTCAGTTCCTTCAGAATCCCCGGTGTCTTAGTCCAGCGTGTAGCTGCCTGCCTTCCTGGGGAGGTGCCCTGGGGGGCTGCCTGCCTTCCTGGGGAGGTGCCCTGGGGGGCTGCCTGCCTTCCTGGGGAGGTGCCCTAGGGGGCTGAGCTGCCTTCCTGGGGAGATGCCCTGGGGGGCTGCCTGCCTTCCTGGGGAGATGCCCTGGGGGGCTGCCTGCCTTCCTGGGGAGGTGCCCTGGGGGGCTGCCTGCCTTCCTGGGGAGGTGCCCTGGGGGCTGCGCTGCCATCGCCCAGCGCTCAGCACACCCACAGCGAGTCCCCTTCATGGCTCCTCTTACGCGGCCACGTGCAGGATCGGTGGGGCGTGCCTCCGGGCGGGCCATGCCTCGGCCCACGTCCGACCCCCGTGGGCGTTCCGGTTTCCATCGCTGAGTCTCAGGGTGCCTTTCTGGTTCCAACACGTGACCCGCGGTCACACTGAGCTGTGGCCAGGACGGGAAGGCGAAGAGGAGCCGCGGCCCGCGCCCCCGATAACCGCTCGCGCTCCGATCACTGTTCCCCGTGTGTGTGTCTGCGAAACAAACTTGGGCTCACACGCTATATACTGCTTTGTATTTGTTTTATTTCTTATAGTTTCAGCTGTATATGACTGTACACTCAATTTCAGAAACAATGAAAACCCCACCCTGCTGGGCGTCCTGAACGGCAGGAAATACCACGCAGACATGTATGTCAGGTGAGTGGCCACGCCCCTTCCAGGGAAGGCCACGCCCCCAGGGAAGACCACGCCCCTCCCAGGGAAGACCACGCCCACCCGAAGCGGGCAGATCACAGCAACCACCGCCCTGCTTCCCCCTCTGGGACTTGCCTGATGCCCCCTGGTCCGCAGCCTGTGCTGGACCAAACGCGTCCCCCAGCTGCAGTCACATGACGCCCTCACGGGACACCCGCTGTCCCACTGTCAGTACCGGGCCAGGGCTCCCCTCTGGTCCTCCCTCGCCAGCCCTGGCCGTGGAGCTCAGGCCGGACAAACGGACACCAGTATTCACAGCCGTTTGGAGACGAGTGTGAGGGCTGCTTTGTGGAGCCCCTCCTGGAGGACGTGTCCACTGCGCACACAGACACGGACGCGTGCACAGGCCGTGGCCTCTCACGTGCGTGCGGAGCCCAGGGTGTTAGACACCAGTTCAGCCGCCTCTTACGCGAGCTTACAGAGGGGTCCGAGGTCAGGATTAGCGGAAACAATGGAA